GCCGCCGCCACGGACTGAGTACCCGGTGCTGGAGGCTCGGACCCGAGGCCGACGCTGGGCGCCCCGCCCCCGCCCGCCATGGCCGCACCCCGTGCCCCCCTCTCTCTCGCGGCCGCCGCACCCGCGACCGGAAAGGCCAAGCTGACGCACCCCGGGAAGGCGATCCTGGCAGGTGGGCCCCTACGGGACGCGGACCCCTGTCCCGCCTACCCTGCCGCGTTTCCGGGTGGTCCCGGGAGGCCGAGGCCCCGCCCCACTTCCGGGTCGGTCTGGGGCTTTGGGGTAACGGGGGTGCGGCCCAGGTCTCCAGCCAGGGCGGTGCGCTCGCCCCGCGAATCTCCATGCACGCCTCGCGACGAGGGGGTGGGGGCGTGGGACCCGGCCCGGCCTCCTAGCGGTGAAGGCGTTTGGCGGCGCCGGGCAAAGTCCGAGGCGGGGGAGGGGCCGATCTGCAGCAGGCGCCCGGGGCCTCCTGGCGGGGGCGTCTCTGAACACGGGTGCCCGGTTCCCGCAGGCGGCCTGGCGGGTGGCATCGAGATCTGCATCACGTTCCCGACCGAGTACGTGAAAACTCAGCTGCAGCTGGACGAGCGCTCAAATCCGCCGCGGTATAAGGGCATTGGTGAGGATGGGAGGACCAAGGGGCTGCGGGTGGCAGGGCACTGTGGGGAGCAGGCTGCAGGGTCCTGACCCTACCCTCGTGCAGGGGACTGTGTACGGCAAACGGTTCGCAGCCATGGTGTCCTGGGCCTGTACCGTGGCCTCAGCTCCCTGCTGTATGGCTCCATCCCCAAGGCAGCTGTCAGGTGAGGTTCTTCTGGGCCCTGGACTGGGGGAGGCCAGGGTGGCTATGGCGGTAGCCTTTCTCACTCATCTGTCACCCCTAGGTTCGGAATGTTTGAGTTCCTCAGCAACCACATGCGGGATGCCCAAGGACGGCTGGATAGCACTCGAGGGTTGCTGTGTGGCCTGGGCGCAGGTGTGGCTGAGGCTGTGGTGGTCGTGTGCCCCATGGAGACCATCAAGGTAGGCGAGGTCCTGACACAGAAACCAGATTTGCCCGAGGGGGTGCAAGATCCCTGAGGAACTGCACTGGAGCATACTGGTGGTGACCATGCGCCCTATGGAAGCTGTCAAGGCAGGAAGTTCGCATGGGAGAGGGGGTTGGATTGGAGAGACTGTGTCCTACAGAAGATTTTAAAAATGGGGAGGATCGCCCAAGAAAGGGGTTAAGGTGTGGTCACAGGGCACTGCTGGTGAGCTGGGCACAGGAGGCTGGACAGGAAGGCTGTCCTGTGGAGGTTGTCTGTCCTGAAAACAAAAACATTATTAAAGCCAGGCAAGGTGGTATGTGACTGTCATTCCAGCACTCAGGAGGCAGAGGCAGAAGGGTCACAGCAAGTTCAAGGCCAGTCTGGACTACAGAGAAAGATCTTGTCTCAAAAACAAAACGAAAAAAATTATTTATGCCTTAAAGATGTTCCATAAACAGAAAACATAAATGCATCTCCTTCACAAGATGGTCCCTCTTGTGTTCTGGGGCCTCCTCTGTGGTGGTGATCCTGGACAGCCAAGGGTAGCACTGCTTGCCAAGTGGGAAGCTTTGCCCCTACCTCTGTCCTGATCTGTTGGGTCTGGGTCTGCTAGTGAAAGGGCAGGTATGCCCTTCAGGTGGTGGCCAGGAGCCAGCTCCTTTGCTTCCCTCTGTCTCAGGTGAAGTTCATCCACGATCAGACCTCCTCCAGCCCCAAGTACAGAGGATTCTTCCACGGGGTTAGGGAGATTGTACGGGAACAAGGTGAGCCATTCAGGAGGGTCAAAGGCCTTGATCAGGCCCAAGGGGCTGCACTTCCCCTTGCCATTTTAACACTGCATATGACACCCCCTCCCCAATCCCAGTTGGGGCCTAGAAGGCACCAGGGTGACTGTATGCCTGCCTGCTCTCAGGGCTGAAAGGAACATACCAGGGCCTCACAGCCACTGTGCTAAAGCAGGGCTCAAACCAAGCCATCCGCTTCTTCGTCATGACCTCCCTGCGCAACTGGTACCGAGGTATGTCTGGCCCCAGGATCTGTGCTACACATGCTGTGAGCTTCACTTCTCCCTTTGGGCTACCTCTGGGAGGCCTCTTTCATAGACCCTGCTCCTGGTTCCTCCCTAGCCTTCAAAGCCTAGCCCACTTTTACCTCCCAGGACTCTCTGACTACAACCCTTACCCCATATACAGGAGACAACCCCAACAAGCCTATGAATCCACTAATCACCGGGGTCTTTGGAGCTATTGCGGGCGCAGCCAGTGTCTTTGGGAACACACCTCTGGACGTGATCAAGACTCGGATGCAGGTTGGGGACGGGGGAGCTGAGGAAGTGGGAAGGGATGCTCGGGACAGGGCCTGGCTGCTGAGCACTGTGGCCCACTGGTGTCCTACAGGGCCTAGAGGCGCACAAATACCGGAACACGTGGGACTGTGGCTTGCAGATCCTGAGGAACGAGGGGCTCAGGGCGTGAGTACAGGCAGGGCTGGGCTGTTGCACCCACCCCAGATCCTCCCTGGTCTTATACCCTCCTGCCCTGGGCTGACTTGAGAGAGATCCTCTGCAGGGATGCTGTCCTCTGCCTCCCTCCTTAACCTCATACCCGCCCCCTCACAGATTCTACAAAGGCACTGTCCCCCGCCTGGGCCGGGTCTGTCTGGACGTGGCCATTGTGTTTGTCATCTATGATGAAGTGGTGAAGCTGCTCAACAAAGTGTGGAAGACCGACTAAGCCCAGGGGGTGTGCATGGGGGCTGCTCCAAGCCAGCTCCCACCACCTGCACCTCACATGATTCCAGTGCAGTCGTGCCAAAAGGCCCCTTCCCGTCCCTTGAGTTCTGTGGTCATGGTAGCCATGATGTTCCATAGTGTTGTGTCTCCCCCTTTGGTCTGTATGTGATACTGCCATTGTGTGTGTGTCCAGCCTGGCCACTGTTGGGTATCACTCTGGCCTATGAATCTGTGCCCACTTGTCCATGTGCTTATTCATGAGCAGTGTACCTGTGTTTCATGTTCTGTGTTACGTATCCTTGCACCTGCTTCCTTGGGTGCCTGTGTGGCCTGGGTCCACGGCCCTGTAGCCATGGCCCGGTCCCAGTCCGGTGCCTTCCACCCTGGGCAGCAGGGGCACCCTGCCCTGGCCTACCACAGCTGCCTCCGGGCCTCAGCCTGGACTCACCGCATTCCAGGGGCTGTGTGCCCCCTGCTTCTCCCGCCACTGGCCTTAACTGGCCCTCGGGCCCTCCCTCCACCCAGGACAGGGTGGCACCCGCCACTCTCAGGACCACCCTGCCAAGGCAGAATAAACCGGATCCTGTTGCAGCCTCCTGGTCCTGCATGCATTCATCTGTGGGCCCATGTTGTGATGGGGGAGGTAGTGATGGCTGAGCCTCCCCAGGGACCAGCCCCACTGCTCCCCAGAAGACACTGCACTAGGCAGTACCCAAGCCCAGCGTGCCCCCTACGCAGACTGACTGCAGCCAGTGTTAGCTCTCCTAGACGCCAGCCCCTGGCCAAGAAGGCTGCATCTACCCTTCCTGTGACCAGTGTGTGGGGTCCCAAGGTCAGCTGATGGATGTGTCCATGAGACCCTGATGTGGCCTGGCAGATGCCACAAGTGGTCAGAGTGGAGAGATAGGCCAGAGCCAGTGCTCCCAGGATGCTGCTGGCCTTCATGGGGAGAGGTGGCCTGAGGAGTCCTGGGTTTCAGGGCTCCCCTGCCCCCCAGCCTGTGCCACAGTCTACCTCACCTCCTATAAGTTTATGAAATGAGCTGCATGCTGGTTGAGGAGTACAGGGACCTGTCTGAGGCTAGAATCGGAGGCATCTACCCTGTGCTCTTCTGAGCCTCTAAGCAGGGGCCCTTTCCTTGGGATGGTAGGCTGCTTTCTGGAGCAGGAAGGAGCCATCCAGCTATCTGGCAGGGACCTCTGGATACCTCATCCCATATCCCTGGAATGAACCTCAAGGGAGGATGTCTCTATCTGAAGTCCCTTCCCAGGTTCCAGAGCTCTGGTTCTAGAGTCCCTACGGCCCCAACTGCCCTTCCACAGTCAAGTCTCAGAAAAGGACTCCCATGGGCAGGACAAGATCAACCAGTGCTCCCACTTGTTCAAGGGGCAGAAAGTATCTTCCTGTCCAACTGCCTCAGCAGGGGAAAAGCCAGACAGGCATTTGGCTCGGAGACCGAAATAGGCCCTACCCCTAGAGCCTCTGGAGAAAGAAAGCCTGGCTCCTGTAGCCGTGGGTCCCTGAAAACCATGTTTGTGGCAGGATGCAGAGGGTCCCAAGGTAGATCTGAAGGCCACATGTGGGCTCGAGATATGGAGGGAACACAATGCCTTGGGGAGCCTCTGGCAGGTTGTCACTCAAAGCCTGCACTGTGGGACTTGGGCTGACCACGTATTCCCAATGATCAGGTATTTCCCGATCCCTGTGACAATGGGCCCAGGCGGCAAAGTCTGTGCCCCACAGTAGCTGTCCCCACCTCCCACACATACCAGGGCTCAAGTCCCACACAAAGGAGCTCCCTGTGTCTGGAGTCGAGGCAACCCACTCTGGACCTTAGCAGCTTGACTGTGGGGGTAGAAGCAATGCTGGTCTGGCGCGGGGTTGCCCTGGAGGCTGCTCCCAAACTACAGCATCTGGGAAATAAAGTGCTGGATGGCACAAAATCACCTAGGCCCCACCATTTGCTATTTGATTTTAGACAACTCACCTAATCTTAATTTCCTAATCCAAGAACAGGGTTTCAAAAGGATTCACCTTTATTGGGTTACAAGATTGAAGTAACATCATCCCTATAAGGTGCTTAGCTCAATACCTAGTGGAGATTAAGTTCTCACCTGGGATAGATTTCTTCGTAGAGTTGTAGGAAGTTGTTTGCTGTCTTTCCAGGTTCCAGGTAGTTCCCGGGGCAGGCAAAGCCCAGTCACTGTCCAAAGGAGACATCATCCCCCCACATGCTGACCTCCAGAGAAGCCAACCACTCCTTGACCATATACTTGCATGGGTCCTATTCCTGTCCCTCTTTGCAGGGAGGAAAGGGCCAAGGCTACATAGCTGGAAGCACAGTAAAGGATGGCCTGTGTAAACATACTCCCTGGGACCATCCCTAGGAACAGCCTGGTGTTCATCCTGCAATCTTCAGGATCTCCTTGATTATGTCACAATGCACACAGGGAACACTGGCCTCAAAGCCAGACGTGCCTTGAAGCCAGAAATGGTGACTGGGTCTGAGTCCCTCAGAACATAAACATGGAGGAGTCAGCGGCTCTGATGTAGTCCATTCTGAGGCTGCATCACACATCACCTGAAGGGTGAAGCCTCAGTTCTAGAGCTGAGACCTGAGAAGGGTATGTATGTGCGAGAAAGAGCTTCAGGCACCGCTGGGTTTGAGAGAAGTGAGCGAGTGAGAACAGCTGGAGAGGCCGGCAGAGATCTGGAGAGAGCCAACTGCATTTAGCCACAACCTCGAAGACTTTGAGGCCAATGGCAGGAGACCAGGAGAGACTTGGGGCGACTTGGCTGGAACCACTGCCTGCCCTTGCAGCCATAGGACCAAAGGGGAAGAGAGAGGTGGGCAGATTTTCAAGCTAATCTGGAGCCAGAGTAGGGTCCACTTTTAGCTTGGAGCTCCACCTGCCCACACCAACCAGCCGGTAAGGTCAAGGTTGCAGTGAAGCCCAGGAGGTGGCTGGGTGAGACTTCAGAGGTGTGGGGAGGGGGAAATTAAGTCACCAAGTCCAGCCCACAGCCAGAGCCTGAGACCAACTAGAAGTCAAACTCAGCTTCTATCAGCCTCAGCCAGATTCCACAACCCAGCACAACCTGGAGACTCTGACCCCCGTGGATTGTGCCCAGCCCCAGAAACAAGGGACAGAAGGGCAGGTGCTGACCACACCTGAGGTACAGCTTGGCCAGTCTCCAGCCTATCCTCACTGCTGTGGGGCTAAGGACAGGTATCCTACGCTCTTCACAGGGAGGCTTTAGGCAGCTACCCTTCACCTCCTCCCACACCCCAAATTCCTTGAAGTTTCTGTTACTGCTGCACGGGAACCCACTGGGATTTTTCCATGTCGCTATACAGGTGAATGGCAGTCAGAACTTAACACCAAAAAAAGAGAAAAGTCACTCCGGAAAAATGCTCAGGACTAAGGCAAGCTAGGAAGAGTTTACCACTGAGCCACATCCCTAGGGCCAGGGCCATCTCCTTTGGGTAACAGTTCTGCTTTATGAGTTATACCTCCCGCCCCCAGGCACCGACAGTGAAGTCTTAGTGAAGGACTCCCGGATTACTTTCTTCACTGCGTTTTTATTTCCTATGTACTTTGAAAGTTCTCTGGACAAGGGTCTTAGGTAAAGGGGTCAAAATCGGAGGGTCTGAGAACTCCGGGCCTCCTCAAGATCTGGGACCAGGGACCGAGCATACCTACCACAAGGGATGGAGGCGCAAGCACGGGGGAGAACCGGCCTGAAAGCACAGGGAGAAGCACACATGGACAGCCACGGCCCCTGCTTGGCCCTGCAGCTCCCCTCCTCCCTCACCCACTTGGAACTTCGCGGAGAGCAACCTCTCCGCCCATCAGGCTGTGGCAAGCCCGGCTCCGGCGTGCCCTTTATCACACTTGCCGCAGTCGGCTCCTTTGCAGGATGGGCCACACCCACCCACCACCCACCTCACCCCGCCCCACGGGCCGAGCCGCACTCCAACCTGTCCCGCAAGGACTTCCCCCAAGTGACCTCGGAGGAAACGCGTCCCGCTCTCTGCTCGAAGGCCGGCGGCATGGGCGGCTCGCTAGTTCGAAGGAGAGCGCTGCCTCCTAACGCTTACAGAGCCCTGGGCACTTTCCACGAGGCAACTCGGCGGGGGCGCCCGGGCTCTCTGGCCCTGGCGCTCAAGACCGAGACGGCCGACAGAGGCCGCCCGCCAAGCCGCCGTCCCCCGCGCCGCCGCCGGGGACCCTGGTGGGTCACTGTTCCTCTAGGCGCCCGGGCGATTTCCCCGGAGCTGTAACGCGGGAAGGTAAATAAAACTCCGGCGATCGAGACCTGGCGGCTTAACCTGCTGGGCGGAACGGTGCACGAGGGAAGCACTGTGCCCGTCGGGCCGGAAGGACGGCCGCCTGTGCTGAGGGGCGTGGGGCACGCGCGCGGACCCGGGGACTCCCTCGGCCCCCGACAGCGAGGTTCGCAGAGAAGGGCAGCGCCGCGAGGCTGCTTGCGTCCACTTCTGAAGGAGGAATAAGACCTTTCCGGCTTCGGGGACAGGCAGGACAGAGCCCGGACGCTGAGTCCAGTCGAGTTCTGAGAGAGAAGCGGCCACGCTAGGAAGAAGGCTGGATGGCGCAGGACGATGGCGTCACGAGGACGCGCCACCCGCTCGGGGCCGCGCACGCGCGCTCGGTAGGCGCAGAACCTGGACCGGCGCTACAGTGGCCTGGCTGTCTTTTCCCTCCTAGGATCCCTGGGGGTCTCCTCACTGTCACTGTCACCACTCCTGTCCTTGGGTATCACTGCAAGTCCCTTCCTTCGCATGCAGCCCCGAGCATGGCCAGTTCAGCCACCGCTATCCACCTTCCCGAGTCTCTGATGGCGCCTCTCCGGACGCCCGGCTCCTCACACCGGAGGCTGCCGGTCCCACTGTCCCCTGCCTAGAGATGTCTCCGCGTTCCCACCACCTTTCGGGCCCTGCCTGACCCATAGGCATATGTTGGGGACGGGGGTGTTCCTGAACTGTGCCCTCAGCTGTGTCCTCAGGTCTAAGCTCCCAGATGGCAGACTGAAGCTACTTCCCTGGGTCCCCTCCACACGTCCTCAGCTGGAGAGCTCCTGGATACTGCTAAGTGAAAGAAGAAAGGATTTACACTGTGGCCCCCTCCCTCTCCCCCTCCTACTCGTTGGAGTATCTTTTTGCTCCAACGTTCCAGATCTCATACACCCAGAGGAGATGGAGCTTAGGAGATGGGAACTAACAGGGCTCTATAAGCCTCTCCAGGCC